TTCGGCCAATCACGATGCACTGGATAGCTGGCCAATCAGAGCAAACCTAGCTTTTTTAGAACGATGAGCTTTGTAAAAATCAACGCATTTACATTATATGGAAAATAATGTGGTTTTTTTTCCTTAAACCGCATAAACACATTGCATTACACCAAATACACAACATAATGTTCTTTTTAGCAACATTATATGACCCCCTTTCATAACTGAGCACCAAATCAGCATGTAATGATTTTTGAAGGATCATGTGACACTGAAGACTGGAGTAATGACTGCTAAAACATTCAATCAAAAATTTGACAATAATAATAATAATAATGATGAATGAAAAAATTATCAATAGAATTACATTAAAATAAAAAAAATAGTTATTTTAAATTTTAATATTTCTTATTACATTTTGTATTGTATTTTTTATAAATGCAGCCTTTCAAATATATATATATATATATATAACTTTTGTTGTAGTAACTTTAGTAGTAAAATTATATGGAATATTTATATTTTGTATTAAATTACAGCATTTTAACTATCTTCCCATTAAGATTGCAAAGTTATTTTAGAATGCCAGCCCCAACAGCGTCTGCCGCTGATAAGATGATTGGCACCAGTTGTGGCTCGTCAGCTCCCCTATTTAGTGTCGCTGTGTCTGCTCTGTCTTTGTCAGATTGCTTTGGTTCTCATGTCGTGTTTTCTCGTGTAGTGTTTTGTTGTCTCTGTGTTCCAGTTCCTGTCTGGATTGTCTCTTGGTCTTATTTCGGAGGTTGGTCTACCCATTGAAGTCCCTGCGCTACCGAGGAACACTCCTGCCATCTGCACCCAAGACATCTGACTCCTTGCGGTGTTTTTCACCTTTTTTCCAATAAACTGTTATCACTGCATTCGAAACTAAATCTCCCATGACAGAATATGTCTGGCCCAGTATTTTTACTCTCTTGGACGTTATAAAATGAGAGAGAAAGAGACAGCAGCATGTTGCAAGACTTTCCCTTCCACAAGACAACTTTAATTATATAATATCAATTATAATTACAGCCACCCACACATATCCTAGAAGCGCTGGCAGCAGCCCAGCTCATTTACGCATACAGTATGAGAGCTCAGAGATAAAACAGGCACAAAGCAGCATTCATAGACTCTTCATTGGATTCACCCTCTCTGTGATCCGAGCTGTCGTGGATACCACTAGCTCATCACACATTTACATTTAATTAAAGTGGACATGCCAGATCAATATGTTCCATTAGCTCCAATATGTCTGTGACAGAATAAGCCAACGACATCAGCCACTAATTTCCCCAGCGATGCCATCGACAGCAGTCTGTGCTATCCTGCTTTTAAAGGGCCTGAATATGGCGTGAAGCTCCGTGGTTTGAGGATTTCATTTTTGTGTCTCTCGTTTCATCGTTTATGGCTAGACAGGGCTGTTCAGTTACTTCTTAGGGCAAAAAATCCAGCTTTATTCAAAGGTTTTTAACAATTAGTTGGCACATGCATGTTGTAAGCACATTGACTCCGCAGTCTGTGAGAATGTAAATGCCAATTTCAAAAAAGCATTTTTTTGCAGTTTTACAAGCTGAATGGGGTGGAGTAAAGACTCTAAATGGTTTCAGGTCAAGGCTGACAGCGAAAAATGCTGAAAACAGGATACTCTGCGGGTCAATGTTCTGTCAACAAACGCAGACTTTAGAGTCAAATGAGAAAACGAAGCAACATTACGCTTGTACGAAAATGAGCTATGAGTAAACACTGTCAGGACCGTTCCTCTGGACGCCGTCAATCTAAATCCCTGTCTTTGGGAAGACTAGATGTTCATTTCAATCTCGTGTTTTTGGAGGTGTTCGAAATTGGACCCCAAACAAGTGTGTGATGGTAAATTAACCAAGTTTGCTACTATTTAGAGATATTTTTTTATTCTCTGTTGCCCATTATAAACCACACAAGTGCATTCTGGGAGCTCACAAATCAACAATATTGTCCAAAATTATTTGTTCAGACCGATATTACACTAAAAGGGACATTCTATTGAGAAATATATTTCCCAATATAATATTTGGAAATATAATGTGTTTTCTAACTCGATTAATATCTCCGGTTAAAACACCCTGTATGCTTTACAATGCTTTATTTATTTTACATTAAAATAAAACAAATAAAATAGCTGTATTAAAAGTACATAAGTACAGCAAGAAAGTACATTTAAATTATTTTTTACTTAAAAATAAAAATAGCAGTCAATATGCAATGCATTAGTGCAATTAAACTATTCTAAAATGTATTTCGTTTTTAAAGTATCTGTCAATACTGTATGTATTTGTGTGGTTAAAATACAATCAAAATGCATTGCCGTTTTTGACATTTTTATTCTAAAATAAATTACATTATTATTATTAATTCGGATATTATTAAGTCTTGACTGGCATCAGCTGGATAGCAGGTTTTGGGGATTTTTAACAATTTAGATGAGTTTTGAAAGGATTTGGCAAAGACACAGCTATATATATATATATATACATTTGCAATGTTCCTGTGGCTCAGTGGTTGAGCATTGCGTTAGCAATGTTAGCAAAAACACCCTTTTGGAACCGTTATTTTCAAAAGTGTAGGTTTGTTTTTGTCAGTTTCCATACAAGCACATGTACAAGTCTTGGCTAAAAAAAACCAACAACAACAAAAAAAAAAACTAGTGCATGTGTAACTCTGACTGTGCATCTAGACTCTGAACTCTAGTGCATAGAACAACAGGTACTGTAGGCCTATAGTAAAGAATATGAGAGATGAAAGAGTCTGCTCTCTCATAATGTGTGCGTGCACCCAGTCCTAACTGTGCCAATCCAG